TCTGCTGCAGTAATAACTGTCTAAGATGAGAATTCCTCTTCCCAAATTATAGAGATTTCCTCTCCTCCTAATGTTTCTCCAGAAGTTTTGGGAAATCTCCCCAGTAGGACACATGCAACAAAAAATAAGCTGACAGGTGTCTAACCCTTTCCAACACTATCCAAAGCAGAAAGGAATTTGCTCAATACATACACCTTAAAGGAAACCTGTATTGAGGGAACATAGAAACTGTAATTGACTGGCCTCTGCTACATATGCTAGTTGCCTGGCTGCCATGGTGATCTAATGTCTACAATGCTCTTTGTGGCACACGCCTGGCATTAGTATGCAGAGACTTCTGACTCTAGCCTGCAACCTTCCAGCTTGTTCAGGGTCCGTTCCTCAAAGTATTGAGACTGAGGGAAACATGGGGATGCCATGGTGGGCCATATTCTGGAAATGCTATCTATCTGGCTATTTTCACCTTCAGTACTTTAGGACACTTACCAGAAACAAACATTCACATTGGGCATGACAAGGTGAAGTCAGAGTACTTTGCAGACATCTTTAAAGCTGAACTTCAGTAAGCCTGAGGGAATAAGGTAAAAGGTAAGTAGCTCTATTTATTCCATGCCCCCTAGAGTTGTTATAGTTGGAACGTTCATCCAAATAAAATAAATCTAGGTTACATGAAAATTACGCAGTTTAGCATACTATTTCTTTAGTTTTCTTGTTCCTGATTATTGGCTGGTTTTGCTCTGTTTGGAGAGTTTTATTCCCAAACTGCACGTATTTATTTTATACTGGATGGGGACGTGTTGTGATCTGCTAACTCATCGCACATGGTCTGTGTTACTGTATTACTATTAAATTAATGGAGTTATAATAAATTTATCCTGTATTCTTGTATGTCTGTTAAATCTGCTAGCATAGCTAGAGAGATAAGTATGCAACCATGTGAAATTTAGCCAGATGTTTTCTGTCTACAAATGTAGGTGCAGTACTGAGGATCTTTGATAATTTAAGACTACAATTGGAAATGTATTTGTGTATGTTTCTTATTTAACCTCTTTTATGGCCACATATTGTTTTATGGCCACACAGCATACAAACCTACCTTACGTACCTAGATATTACCTTTTAAAAGTAGTGATGACATGATCACTGGGAAGAATATAACCTTTGCAAAAAGTAGACTTTAGAAAAGTATGGGGAGTAAATACAAGACCAGAAGACAAGATAAGAATATTCTATTAGTTTGGAATTTGAATGCCAAAAGATACAAGAGCATGGAGCAGGTGGGTTCACACTCTTTACACTAAATGATTGCAAATGTAAAAAAGGCATGTAGGTTCTATTTTTATAGTGTATTTTTACATTTATAGTTGACTTTGACTGTGGGAACAGATGTGATGTCTGTCCCATTAATTGTATGAACAGACAGAGTGTATGGAGCTCATTTGTATTTTGTGTTTTTGTCCTTAGGGAAGGCCTGGAGTAAAAGGGTCTCCTGGACATCCTGGGGAGGAAGGTGGACCTGTACGTAAAATTTACTAAATCTTACTTGATTAGAATAAACAAATTTAAAAAACAGTTTAAATTTAAACTGCACATTGGATTTGACATTTGTTTGGGTAAATGTGGAACCATGTATTGTACCGGGAAATCATCTTATTAGAGAGTTGGGTAAGACATTCTACAATTGTAGGCAAGTTTATGAAGTTGTCAATAGGGCATTCAGCAAACATTCTGCAGGTTAATCTTCCAGGTGATTTGAATGAGAGTGATTGATTCTCCCACTGGAGAAGTTTTGGTGAAAGTCACATTCACGGCTGACAATTTCAGTTTTACCTCATGTCCCAGTACTCACACAAGAAGATAGGGAGAGTCTCCTCAACAAGAAAGTGTTTAGCAATAAAAACATGACAGGGATTTTAACTCTTTCTCATTCTGTTAAAAAAAGTGAGCATCAAGAGCTGGCTGGAGCTGAACATTAAAGTGAAGCTGTATTCAGACACAGTGTATAAATAGGCAAGAAAATAATAATTCAGGCCCTCAGAAGTGCTTACACATGTCTTCAGTTGTCCGTAAAACCTTGGTTGCTTTATCATGCAAATATAAGCGTCCATTAGAAAGGCTCCATTCTGCCTCCAACGCCTCTCTTTTGGCAGGGATGGGCCAGTGATGAGGCACAGAAGGAGAGAGGGGGTGAGGCTATAGTTCCCTCAATAAGACTATGGAGGACTTCTAAGACATAAGTAAAATTGTGCAGTTGTCTCTTGCATAAACAAATGAAAGTATACCTAAATCCATTAAAAAAAGAAGATATTGCAGCTTATCAGTCTTTAGGTGTGTTGACTGCATCAGTTTTCTTTTTCCAAAGGAAGAAAACTACCAGTTGGCCATACCAAAAATCGAGTGTCCTTATAACTTCCTAGGCACTGGACTTAAATTTCAATCAGTTATCATCTTTCTCAGATATCTTCTGTTAGTTTGCAACTTTTTTCTTAAATGTAATGGAACTTAAGCAGAAGAGGTATATCTAGTCGGGCAAGCAGCCTAGGGTGGCAACACTGTTCCTTTATAGTTATAGTGCAGTGAGAGACTGCTGTTACCTTGTCAGCCTAGGACAGGGAGTACAAGACAAGCAGAATCTACTTTAATATTGCTGTATTGTGCCAGATGCTTGAATATACTGTATGTCAAATGTTCTGGTATTCTCTTCCTATGTAATATTTTGATGCTGTGTTTAATTAATGCAATGTCATATAAATCTGAATTTTCCAATGTGAAAGAAGATGGCTCTAAAACAACCGTGGAAAACACTGTAATGGTGTCCAAATGTGACACCACATAAATATTAAATCAGTGTTTTCACATTTTGAAAATTGTCATATTATTTTGAAGAGTTTTTACCATTGTACAAATCATGATTACCTTCATATGCATGTGGCTTTTGTAGAAAATCAGCAGCTTTGGTCCCTTCTGCTCGCAGCACCATAGTAGGTAGCTTCTTATACTGCACAATTTCGTCATTACAGCAGTTGTCATTTTGAGTAGAGATTCTAAATCTTGTTAATATAATAATAATTATAGTAGAAAAATATAATGTAAACTTTCCAACTTACTCTTTTGCTTAGGGTGACAGAGGGCTACGTGGACTAAATGGAACACGGGGAGAAGATGGATGCCCAGGATCCAGAGGAACAAAGGCAAGTTTTTACAGGCAATGTAAAATACAACGTATTTCATATTGCTGTATTATGTATAGCTTTCTACAAGCGCAGTAATCTGTGAATATAGAGGCAATTGCCTGACCCATAATTGACTATTGCATAATTCTAGGGCCTCCCCACGAAATCATAAATAAAACAGCAATCGCTGAGGAATTTTATCAATATTCATACTAAATAAATTTTCTTTGTGTAGATTTTAAAGAATATGAACTTAACAAGGTTTAAAAAACAGAATTATGTGCATAAATGAACAGTATACCTACAGAATTTACAGCAAATAAACCCTTGGTTTTGGTAATGTTTCCTGCATGAACTTTCACGCTGTCTATCTGATCAAAGCCACCTGTGCCAGTGGAACTAAAGCCATAGTAGCACCCTAAAACATTTGCCATAATGTGCTTTCTCACAGGTTAGGACAGGCTTACCTCCTAGTTTAACCTGCTCCATTGTTGTAAGGTCTATGCTCCACACTGCTGCTGCCATCTTTTCCTGGTCTTCATTCAGCCCAGCATTTTCTTTCTTAGGTCACTGAGAGATTCCCATGCTAGCATACATTATCACAGCAACTGGCTCCTACTATTAGCACGTCTGAAGTGTATACTGCACATGCAGAAAAGTATTTTGTACAATTTTTTTCTCATTTATCCATTACAGCAAGAGCATTAGCATTTGAGTTAAGAGCTAACTCTAACTGCAATTCTGTGAATGACTTTCGCATAAAAGATCTTTTAACTATGTGTTAGTTGCTGTTAGGCTGTTTACTGGAAATGTTTTCAATATTCCAGATTACTTACAAAAATACATAAAAAACAGTTCAAAGGACACATAGTAAGGATACATACCGTATTTTTCCCTCCATAAGACGCACCTGACCATTAGACGCGCCTAGGTTTTAGAGGAGAAAAACAAGAAAAAAAAAAAAATTCTGAACCAATGGACTGCAGACAGTACAGGGGATGGCCAGAGACTGCGGACACAGTACTGGGGATGACCAGAGACTGTGGACACAGTACAGGAGATGACCAGAGACTGCGGACACAGTACAGGAGATGACCAGAGACTGCGGACACAGTACAGAGGATGACCAGAGACTGCGGACACAGTACAAGGGATGACCAGAGACTGCGGACACAGTACAGGGAATGACCAGAGACTGCGGACACAGTACAGGGGATGACCAGAGACTGTGGACACAGTACAGGAGATGACCAGAGACTGCGGACATAGTACAGGTGATGACCAGAGACTGCAGACAGTACAGGAGATGACCAGAGACTGCGGACACAGTACAGGTGATGAAAAGAGACTGCGACACAGTTCAGGTGATGACCAGAGACTGCGGACACAGTACAGGGGATGACCAGAGACTGTGGACACAGTACAGGGGATGACCAGAGACTGCGGACACAGTACAGGTGATGACCAGAGACTGCGGACACAGTACACGGGATGACCAGAGACTGCGGACATAGTACAGGTGATGACCAGAGACTGCAGACAGTACAGGAGATGACCAGAGACTGCAGACACAGTACAGGTGATGACCAGAGACTGTGGACACAGTACAGGGGATGACCAGAGACTGCGGACACAGTACAGGGGATGACCAGAGACTGCGGACACAGTACAGGTGATGACCAGAAACTGCGGACACAGTACAGGTGATGACCAGACACTGCAGACACAGTACAGGTGAAGACCAGAGACTGCGGACACAGTACAGGGGATGACCAGAGACTGCGGACACAGTACAGGGGATGACCAGAGACTGCAGACATAGTACAGGTGATGACCAGAGACTGCGGACATGTACAAGAGATGACCAGAGACTGCAGACATAGTACAGGAGATGACCAGAGACTGCATACATAGTACAGGGGATGACCAGAGACTGCAGACATAGTACAGGTGATGACCAGAGACTGCGGACATAGTACAGGAGATGACCAGAGACTGCGGACAGTACAGGGGATGACCAGAGACTGCGGACACAGTACAGGGGATGACCAGAGACTGTGGACACAGTACAGGGGATGACCAGAGACTGTGGACACAGTACAGGGAATGACCAGAGACTGCGGACACAGTACAGATGACCAGAGACTGCAGACAGTAAAGGAGATTACCAGAGACTGCGGACCTTTGGGGAGGGAGGGGAGGGGGAGCGGGTACCTGAATTTGACACTTTGGTGCTTTGTGAATGGTCTGGAGCCTTCTGGGACCTGTATGTGTACCAGAAGACGCCAGACCATTCGCAAAGCGCAGCGCTTCTCATGCATGCACAGTGGGCACCCGGCTGTCACAGAAGCCGCCGCGGGAAGACTGCAGCGCTGGAGCGAGGAATAGGTAAGGTCCTGCAGGAGAGAAGGGCTGAGTGGCCGGCCTGATATTCTGACATGGTGGCGGCAGAAATACCGGACCGTCCGCTTTACATTCGCTCCATAAGCAGCGCTGACATTTTCCCCCCTTTTTTGGGGGGAAAAGTGCGTCTTATGGAGCGAAAAATACGGTATGTCTTTGATCTTACTATCTAGGTAAATTAGACAATGTGATCCCCATAGTTGACCTTTTTTTAAAGATTTGTATTTTTTATTACATTTTTACAAAGTTTTACAAATTGCACAAAGAGAAAAATAAGAATGATGGAGCCAGTAGGCACAAGACATTGTACAGAATAGTCTAACATGCATACTCATTGATGGCCTAGATAGCTCAATTAAGTAAAATCATAGTCTATCAGTTAAATACCAGAAAGGGTTGTGTTATCAGAAAAAAATGGGGTTACAAAACTAACAACGCAAGCAAAAATCAAGTAACAGCCAATGAGGAATAGGGAAAGACTCAAACAATGGGAAAAAAAGCAAAAAAAAACAAAACAAACAGTAAGGTGTTATATATATACACCAACATAACTATTAGGATATACAGGAACAAACAAATCACACCAGAAGGGAAGCCATGTTGGCTTTCCTCTGCTTAGACTTGTCTTTGCATAATCAGCAGATATCAGAAGACACACTCATCTGATTAATGTCCTGGCAGTTGGTGTGATACATATTTTCCTTGGACAATCTGTGATATGGTGATGTCAGAATTGTTCCAGTGAAAAGCCACTTCGACTCTATGTATTGTATCATTATTTAGTATGTTTTATTTACAAACGTTTGTTTTATTTTTTATAGGGTTCACGAGGCTTTAGAGGAGATAAGGTGAGCTATGACTGCACTTAGTTAAAGTTTGATAATTGTTACTTTGATTCACGTAAATAATTCTTATAATTAAAGGTAGTAGCAGGAATGTTGTATGTGTGCTCTTACTGTTATTGTAAATTGGCAAGTAGAAACATTTGTAAAGATTGTATGTGTATATTTGTACTCTGGCACTTCCTAACTGTAAACATGATAAAGCAAAACTACAATGTACTGTACATAGTTTCAGAAATACTTAACTTGTCTTTTTTTTTAGGGAGATGATGGGGAGCATGGAATTGATGGTATACCCGGAGAACAGGTGAAACAAATGTTTTGAAAATATGTTACTTGTGCAATATAACAATGTTTACAAAAATCTATCAATTCCATCTATTCATCTAGAAAAGGAAAACAAATTCCCAGTGAGACAGCTTCCTATTTTTTACTTAATATGGGAAAAAATCCTTTCTTAACCCTGACAAAGGCTGTCATATTGATTCTCTGGATCGATAGCTTCCATAATCATTATACACTGCTCAAAATAATTAAAGGAACACTTTGAAAACACATCAGATCTCAATAAGGTAAAATATCATGCTTAATATCTATACTGATATGGACTGGGTAATGTGTTAGGAATGTAAGAATGCCCCATCGTTTGATGGAAATTAAAATTATCAACCTACAGAAGACTGAATTCAAAGACACCCCAAAAATCAAACTGAAAAAATGATGCAGCAGGCTAGTCCATTTTGCTGAAATTTCATTGCAGCAACTCAAATTGGTACTCGGTAGTTCATATGGCCCCCACATGCTTGTATGCATGCCTGTCAATGTCGGGGCATGCTCCTAATGAGACAATGGCTGTTGTCTTTAGGTATTTCCTTCCAGATCTGGACCAGGGCATCACTGAACTCCTAGCGGCGTCGGATGGGCCGTAACATGATGTTCCAGAGGTGTTCTATTGGATTTAGGTCAGGTGAGTGTGGGGGCCATTCAGTGATATCAATTCCTTCATCCTCCAAGAACTGCCTGTTTACTCTCGCCACATGAGGCTGGGCATGGTCGTGCACCAGGAGGAACCCAGGACCCACTGCACTAGCGTAGGGTCTGACAATGGGTCCAAGGATTTCATCCCGATACCTAATGACAGTCAGGGTGCCATTGTCTAGCCTGTAGAGGTCTGTACATCCCTCCATGGGTATGCCTCTCTAGACCATCACTGACCCACCACTAGTGGGGCCTAGAGCCCACTAGAGGACGTCAGGCCCTCAGGCCACTCTCATGAAGTCTGTTTCTAATTGTTTGGTCAGAGACATTCACACCAGTGGCCTGCTGGAGGTCATTTTGTAGGGCTCTGGCAGTGCTTAACCTGTTCTTGCTTGCACAAAAGAGCAGATACCAGTCCTGCTGATGGGTTAAGAACCTTCTACGGCCCTGTCCAGCTTTCCTAGAGTAACTGCCTGTCTCCTGGAATCTCCTCCATGCTCTTGAGACTGTTCTGGTAGACACAGCAAACCTTCTGGCAATGGCACGTATTGATGTGCCATCCTGGAGGAGTTGGACTGCCTGTGCAACCTCTGTAGGGTCCAGGTATCACCTCATGCTACCAATAATGACACTGACTCTAGCCAAATACAAAACTAGTGAAAAACAGTCACAAAAGACGAGTAGGAAAAACAATGTCAGTGGCTTCCATCTGTAAAACCATTCCGTTTTTGGGGGTCGTCTCATTATTGTCCATCTAGTGTACCTGTTGTTAATTTCATTAACACCAAAGCAGCTGAAACTGATTAACAACCCCCTCTGTTACTTAACTGACCGGATCAATATCCCAGGAGTTAAATTGACTTGATGCTATACTCTGAATAAAGAGTGTTCCTTTATTTTTTTGAGCAGTGTGGTTGGAGAAGCTATTTGTAAAAATAAAAATCCAATTCCAGTGAAACCTTACTTGCCCCCTAACTTTATTTTTCTAGTGTTTTCTATGTATTTCTGTTATACTTGATAGTCTATGTAATTAGGAGACAAATGTAAACATACTGTACATCATACAAACATTACTAAAGGGCTGGCAATAAGAGTTCAGAACCTTTCTGAGAAGGGTTAGGACTGTGTATGAAGGCACTTCAAATATCAATGAGCACTCAACATTTTAGTTGATCCAGAATACACTGTTGTGAATTGAAAGGAAACAACGCCACTCCAAACGTTGTGTATACTCCTCTATTCCCTCAATGCTCCAGGTGCCAGCCCCAAAGAGCTTGTCCCACTCTGTATAGAAGCAAATACAGAGGATGAGGCTGCACTCTGATTATGCCACACCATGGGTTTATTCAATCAGATTGGCTTTTGACACAGACCCTGCCCATAGCCACACCCCACTGACACATCTCTATACCACTGCAATTAAGCCCAACTGGGGTGAAATCCAGCAGAAGGGTGTGGCTATGGATGGGAACAGCATCAGAAGCCAGCTTGATTGAATGGTGTAATGTCAGCGTGCAGTCTCATTTTCTGTTTTTGTGATCAAGAATACATGTTAGAAACAGTGAAACAACTCAAGAAGCCATCTAAACTCAGTATACAACAGATCTGTAGTGCTCCTATCTATATTGCTCCTAAAACCTTGATCTTGAAATAAAAGTTACATTTTCTCAAACATTTTGATTTGATGAGTCTTCTGCATGGGACAGTTATTCTTTGATACTGATGCTTTCAGTGTCAGTAAGGTAAATCTAGCATTTGGGACGTTAAAGAGCAACTGCTCTTTTAGTACAGTTATAATTTTTTTTTTTTTTTGAGCCACCTCTACACCCTTGCCAGTCATATGTTCAACTGTCTATGATCTACTGAGATCTGAACTATGCAGGGCACTTTAAAAAATGAGTGTAATTTCACTTACAGTTACATTTTGGGGTTGAGGTTAAAATTAGGTTAAAGTTGTAAACAAGGTACAGATGTTGGGCTAAAGATTAAGGTTAGGATCAGAAGTTAGGGGTTACCAATTACTGTAATAGCTTATAATCATAGATAGCTTTTTTAATTTTTCATGTAACAGTTGTGCTTGGTAATTGGCCAAACCCTTTAATATAAGAGCAAGAAGATTATGCTCAGCCCTAAACAAGCTCCAACTAGAATTGACTGGGAGTTGACATGGAGTAGCTTCTCCTTGCATGTATTGTGGAGCAGCATGAGAAGGTACAGTAAGTATTCGATTCTGTGGCAGTCCAGCTTAAAAGGTGAGCTCATTGCTTTGTCCTGTGTGGAAAAAGCACAGTTTCAAGTTCAGATAAAGTGTTGGAGTTTTATGTTTAAGGTTAGGTAAAGGAAAGGTTGATTTAAAGCAGGGGTCTCCAAACTTTCTAAACAAGGGGCCAATTTACTGTCCTTCAGAGTTTAGGGTTGCCGTTGGGAGTAGAAAATGTCCCGATGTCAATGGGAGGAATTGTGCCCCTTCATTGGTGTCTATGGGGAGAATTATGCTCCAATTGTTGGTATCAGTGGGTGAAATTGTATTTTTTGCGCTATAAAAATAAAAAGGCTGACAATTTTGAGAAAAAAAAAACAATATTTTGGATTTTTTGCTATAAAACATGTCCAGTAAAAAAAAATTTTAAAATCAATTTCAAATTTCGTCATAAATTTCGGCCAAAATGCATTCTGCGACATGTCTTTGCTAAAAAAAAAAAAACCCAATACGTGTAAATTAATTGGTTTACGTGAAAGTTATAGCGTTTACAAATGGCGGGAAAGATACTCAGATTTTTTTTTTTTTATACTAATTATGGCGATGATCAGTGACTTATGGCGGCGATCAGCGACTTATGACAGGACTGGGGGACTGTGGCGGACATTCTGACACTGGGGGGAACTGACTTGGGGTCACTGACATCCCCAGTGACACCAATACAGTGATCAGTGCAAAAAAAAAAACACTGACACTGTACTAAAGGTACTGGGGAGGAAGGGGTTAACTTTTTTATTCGCTGAAAGGGTTAACTGTGTGAGGGGAGTGTTTTACTAGGGGGCGGGGGTGTGTACTGCACGGGGGCACTCTGATCGGGAGAGATAAACTCTTCTCTCCCGATCAGCATGTCAGGACCTGTCAGGGAACTGACAGAAAGTAGAGCTACTGCAGCCCTGCTCTCTGTCAGTGATTGCTGCTAATCGGC